CCCCGTTGTGTTTTGCACCGGGTTCAAGATCCAGTGAGACCCTGCTTGAGACCACCAAAGAGACAGAAGAAAAACTTCTCCCTGTATGTCCTCTCTGTAAAGCATTCTTTCTTCCTCTCTCTGTCCACATTTCTATTTCCATCTCAATTTTTGGGGGGATTTTTTTTCACTTAAGCATCATTCGTAGTATGTAACAGAAACACACATGTTGGCCTCGAGAGGTCTAATAAAAACACCGTGGTGAAACCTGATACTGAAGAATCTCCCTTTTTCAATTAACTGATACTGTATGTTCGTTAATCCTGCAGCTAATTCCAAAATTAATGACTAAAATCTGTTCTTGAAGGGAAAACAAAGACTATATTTTTCTTTCTTCAAAAAAAATAATAATTACCACACTCATTACTTTTATGCTGGTCTTCCCCTTTCTTTTTTCTTTGTTTTCTCTGTGCATGGTGGTTAAAACTATATACACTATATAGCCAAAAGTATGTGGACACTGAAACATTTCACTGTGACTGCTGAGTGTCTCATTCAAAAACCATAGGAAGGTTTCCACATGATTTTTGAACTTGGATGCTTCAATTCAGCCGCAAGAGCATTAAAGTTGATTTATAGATTTATAGTGGTGCGTTAATGGGGTTACATTGTAGCTACGGACACTATGTATATAGCCGCTGCAGCTGTAGGTATACTGTAGCTGGCGTGCCACTTGTAAAAAATGTAACTACTCGTTGGGGCAATGGTGTCTACGGACATAGCACGTGAAGACTGGAAGAACTGTGATTGTTCAGTTTGAGCTGCTTGTGCTTTCTCCTCTGAGTTTCTGATGCTGGTAGAGATTGTTGAGAGCAAAGACAACATGAAACAAACATTTTATATAAGTTATTTTCTCCTTTTCAGTAACACACATCTAGCGGCCATCTCCACTGCAAATGTTCTCGTCACTCTCCATCACGGTGAATCTAAGAACGTAACACGGCCACTCCACCAGTGGATGACAGAATGTAAGCACAGTTACTGTGGGGAATACAATTTAAACTTGATACGGCCTGGTCACGTCCAATACATCTCCCTGGTGTTTTAGTGATTCTATCAACAGGTGAAATCCGATACTAAATCAAATCCTGTTCACCCCAAAGGTGTTGGATGGGCTTGAGGTTAGGACCAGTCAAGCTTTTCCACACTAAACTGGGAAAATAATTTCTTTATGGACCTGACTTTGCGCACAAGGGGGAACAGTCAAGTTGAAACAGGAAACTGGAAGCACATTATTGTCTAAAGTATTGGACGCTGTGGTGTTAAATTTCCATTAATTGGATCAAAGACGTTTAGTTCAAACCATGGAAAACAGCCCGAGACCAGAACTACACAGGCGGCCATACAGTGTAAAAAGAGAGCAGTGTTTTTTGTCTGACGTTGAACCTCTTGAAAATGTCTTTTCTGGGTGATCTTATTACAGAGGAACGTTCACAGCAGCACTGGCATAGTTCAGCCTTTTAGAGAGCATGGACCCACATCTCAGAGAGGCTCCACAGCGCTTAATCACACTCTTCTGATTACACACAAAGGCAGGGACACTGAACACACACATAGTGAACAAGTACAGGCTGATTCGGTCTGTGACACTGCTCAAGTTTGAAAATGTGGTTCAATTGCAGGTGAGCAGCCTTTTTTATTTTTAACCTCACATGGTGTATATGCAGCCCAGCAGATGAAAGCTACAGCCCATTTTCTCCTCCGTCTGTAACAGCAGGACAAACAGCTCTTTCTCATGTGAGCAGCTCTGTACATTACTCACATCCATTTTTGGCTCTGAAGCCATAACTGGAAACATTTTCAGACTAATTACCTACAGCAATGAGACATAATTTATCATGGGGCTGAATGTAATTATTATAGGGTGACTTACTCCACAATTATATTAAATAATCCACTTGCTTCATAATTATATTGATTGAGGTTTGTAATGGAGATCATTTTGTAGCTGGCATAAAAGAAACATCAACTGGTCTCCTCACGAACACTGAAGTTGGTCTGAAGTGTTACAGATAATACATTTTTGGTAGAATCTCGACCTGGTGTTAAGAGTCTAAAGACCCACGGTTTCAATGTCCCTTCCTGATTGGTTGCTAAATGCCAAGTGGGTGGGTCTTATCTGATATGAGTGAGTTAGAAGCCGATGCCAAAAAAAGGGAAGGAAAACAAACGCAAAAAAGTTGGCGTAATGCAGAATAGTGGGAAAAAGAGTGAAGTAGCCTTTTGTTTGAAAGTCAAATGAACTGAAATAAACTCCAAGCTGTAACGTGGCGCCCTGTTGCCAAAAGACGAGAAGACATGTGAAACTGAGGCTCAGGTAAGACCGTAACCTGACCTGTCTTGCTTTGGCAACGGCAACCAAATGCACTTACTATATACTATGACCTGCTGTGAGTAGTTTCAGTCAAGCTGCCATCCATCTTTCATTCACTTTAACTGAAGCCAGGGACACTGACAAGTTAAAGAATGTGTTTCCTGTTTCTTGTTGAGTTCCAGTTGGCTCCCGCTGAGTCCTCTGCCAAACTTTAACCAACAAATTTGCATAAGCGACCAATATAAACAGTGTTGTTGTCTACAAACTACAAGAATTGTTCTCATATATTGTCAACAGTGTATAATTGCTGTGCTCAGTATTTATTTATTTCCCACGAAACTGTACCTTAATGGTGCAGATACAATTCAAAATAGACCCAAATCGGTTTATACTACATTGCGTGTTTACATGTTTGGCTCTGATTATCACTGATTATTAATGTAGCACCACAGAAACCTTTTAAAACAGCAGGCCATTATATGTTTTTGTGACTACACCTCTGTTAAAAATCCATAATTGAGAGTCGGGCTTAGCACTGAACCTAAATACTTTCTGTCAATCAAAATGTCACACATCAAAAGCTGGCATTAGAGTTGACACCAGATGTCTTGTCAGATTGTTATGGCACAGACAAACAGAATTCGGCAATGATGTAAAACTGTGAGCTTGGTTTTGGAAAATGAAGATCTGTCGTCTTGATTAGTCAATGGATTCAGTGTGTCTGCACCACCAGTCATGTTGTAGTTGTTCTGGATCAGATATTATTTTAGATTAAATTTTTTTATGCATTTCTCATACTGCAACTTGTGTTAAACACATTAAACACCAAGGCACTGAGAAGTCTGACATACTTTGTTAAATGAAAAAGGGATTTTGAAAAATATTTCCTAAAATAAGTTAAATTTGTATTTGCACCAATAATGAAAAAAAATCAAATGATACCCAGAAGAGGAGGTAAGAAGAGTTGTGCCTCGTATTATCATCATCTTCCTCGTCATCGTCATGCCTGGTCTCTGAAATCTCCATCTGAGCTTGGCAGGAGAACATCTGTTGAAATCAGACTCTTGTCTGCTAAGTCTGTCGTCTTAGTAGACAACCACACAGTTCAGCATCCAGGAAGTTGATCCAGTGCCTGGTCTTTCTCAACCAGGATTTCTGCAGGTGACAGACGATCTCACCCTCGTAGATCCGTCTGCAGAGCGCGGCTCAGTGGAATAACGGCTGCTTCCAAACTGCTAACAAGAGCGTTCTGCGGCCAAGTGAACTCACCCCAAACAGAGCATGTAGCAAATAATTCAACATGAACTACTAACAGATGGGGGCACAATATAATCTTCATATGGATCCGATTTGGAACCAAACCCAACATTTTGGTACATCCTGTTTAAAGCAGCGCTCTGCCCATGTCTGAAAATATGCGGCAGTGATAATAATAAAAACTGGTTGAATAAAGCTGAAAATTAGCCATGACAAAATATGTCCCTCACCCTCGGAGCATTAGACACATTTTGGAGATTAAAGGACAATATGAACAACGCCCACTCACCATCTGAGACCAGGTTACAGGCCTGTAAGTGGGCATCACAGTCTCTGAGGACTGATGTGTATCAGGAGTAGGAATAAAGATGGGGAAACACCAGAGCTGTGAAATTGGTGCTCTACAATATTCAAAATTCTTTGTCAGAGCAACACATTGCACTATATTCAATCCAAAATCCAAAAATTAAAATGAATTCAATGATAAAAGTTCACCTCATCATGAGCTGCATGGCAAAATAATGTTCTGACTGCATGTTCTTATAGCAATGCTCTCAGTTAATTGGATTCTGTTCAACTATTGAACAGATACTTTTTTCCAATGAACACAAACTTGTTAAATCAGTTGCTAATTGGTTGGGCTGATAAATCATCCAGGAATCTTGTATGGCTATTTAAGTGGAGGTAATGCTCCAGTGGCTTATCATCCAGCTCAACTGAGAACTGTAGTTGTGTTTCCTCTCTTGGCCTCTGTTCCACTAACATCCGTAAGTCTTCTTGGGAAGTTGAAACATGTTCTTGGCATTTTACAGTAAGTCCATATTTTAAGATAAACAAATTTGTTCAAGTGCTGAAAATGACCTGTTTATAATAACCTGAAATAGACATTGCAAAATAGGACTTTACAGGCAGAAGTAGACCTTGTTAGAGTACTGCAGAATGAGAGGATGACCACTACTCACATCCCACTTCTTAAAAGCAGACAGTCTTGGTATCTCTTAACCATGACCACAATCTTTCCTTTAAAGAGCAGTGTGTTGGATTCAGTGTCATCTAGTAGTGAAGTTGCAGATTGCAACCAACTGTACTGATAGTGTAGCAACATGGCGGTTCAACATGGCAGCCTATATGGAAG